GGTGTAGAGAAGAGAAAATTCATTGTTTAAAAAAGCCAAGATGATTTAAGACTTAATAAACTTATACTCTAAAAAGTCTTACAACTTAACTCTTAAAAGAATATAGCTAACTTCTGTGATTAAATATCATTATACTGAAAATTTGTGTGTGTATGTATGTGTTTGTATTCTGCTGCAGACTGAACACAGGGCTACCTGCTTGATAGGCAGTCTACCACTGAGCTACACTCCAGCCCTTAAATGCAAATTAGGTAATTTTTTTCCCCACATGAAGTTTTATTATGATTTTATCTATTCAATTTTACACAGGCTGGTATAGTACATTTGAGATGTCAATTATCTTTCGTTTCCCCCAAATAATACAGGTGAAAACAAGCTGCACATAAAAGTCAATAACTAGAAGCTATACCTTATGGTTTAGCATTTACCTAGCACTATGAGGCCGTGTTTGTCAAACACCGAAAAGAAAGAAAGAAATCAACAACTGTTATCTTTCTTACTAATGTATTTTTCTTTTTTTCTAATTTTTGTTTTTGTTTTTTTCCTTTTTATTGGTACCAGGGATCGAACTCACGACTGCCTGCTTGCAAGGCAGACGCTTATGCCGCTGAGCTAAATCCCCAGCCCCACTAATGTATTTTTCAAACGTTAAAATACACACAAATTTCACAGATGTTTATTGATAGTATATAATTACACATAACTATGGACTACGATGTTTAAGTTATGGATAACCTAAAACAGACCTCTTTTCACTATCACTGTTAACCTGTAATTGTACCTCTCACATAAGGTAGTACATAGCACTGTGGAGCTAGTCTTGAAGACTATCCAAGGACAAATGATGTGCTTATTTGAAAATGTATAAACTAAAAATAAGGGGATTAGTTGGAGATATCTGAATCTGAAATTTTCTGAATACTTACATAATTAGGTTATACAAGTTACAGCAGGTCATTGCATGATTCTATCTAATTTTTAAAAAGCTAAATATCCAAATAGAATATTTCTGTGTTTAACAGGGAAAAATGTTATTTTCTTTTAATCAATTCTGATTTCCCTAAGAAGGTATAAACATCCTTTTAAAAGTTTTAACAAATATAAAAAATTAAAATATGGTAGATAGCAAAAGAGTCAAATCTTAAAACTATTAATCAAGTATAGCCATATTCTCATGCCATCTGCAGACACCTGAATAAAATGTTTTACCAGTTTTACACTACTGTTATTTTCTTGAGTTCTAAAGCAAGTGAAAAATGCAATTGCTTAAATATCCAAACTATTATCTTCATAATGGCAATTGATCAGACTAAGTCTACGGACGCAGCTTCAATATATATATATCTATAAAAAGATTACTTTGCAATTTTCCTCTCTTAAAAAACATAATACTTCCACTTAAGTCCTGTTATGTAAAAGAAGTGTATACCTGAAGTATAACAAATCTACAGTTCCCCCACTTGTTAATATCAAGGTGGGAAGTTTTTTGAGAGAATCTGGTAAACTACATAGGCTGACATCAACTAGCAGTCCCCCTGCTTCAACCTCCTAAACAGGTTAGGTTTAAGAATGTTTTAAGTATAGTACTACAGTACTGATTCAAAATCTGTCCCTTGATTTCCCAATACCAATTCAACATGGAAAATAAATCAGAAATTACACAATTTAGCCTACCTATACTTTGTAAAAGCTGGAGGGTTATGCTTTTATATTCCTTCAAATTTTTGTTTGAAAAGAAAAGGAAAAAATATGTATGTGTAGATATATAAACAAGATAGCTAAACTAGATATATTATTACTTTCTTTACTTCATTGAAAAGAAAACTGTGCTAATATTGTTTGGACAATACCTCACGCTTGTATCTCCTACCCTGAGTAACTACTCTGAAAACAACAATATGCAATGTACTAATTATTGTTACTTTCCTGTAATCTTGTTTTGAAATTTTTTATGATAATAAAAGTTAAAAAAAATTATGCTATGCTGCTTTTTAAAAAACTAAAATTGTTAGCTGGGCATGGTGACACACTCCTGTAATCCCAGCACTTAGGAGGCTGGGGCTGGAAGATCCTGCGAATTTGAGACCAGCCTAGGCTATGAAGTGAGCTCAAGGCCAACCTGAACTGCACTGCGAAACCCTGTATCAAAAAGACAAAGGAAACAAAATTTAAATTGTTTATGAATCTTTTCTTTAAAAGAAAGTTAGAGAAATACCCAAACTTTCCTTCCTTTCTACAGCACCAGCCTTCAGGAACTTTACAATTTTGAGTTATAATATAACATGGTTGAGAACAGTGAGGAAATATGTAGAACAGTTTATTTTTGGTTTTTTTGAGACATGATCTCATTATGCAGTTCAGGCTTGCCTTGAATTCACTGTGTAGCCCACGTTGGCCGTGAACTCAGAGCAATCCTGCCTCAGCCTCCCAAGAGCTGGGATTACAGGCATATACCACCATGCCCAGCTAGAATTGTTAATTACCACCAGTTAGTAATAAACTGAGTTTGAACTGGAGTTATAAACTGAAGAACATGATTACTATCCAGCTACATGAAGTCACTTCCTCACTCATCTCTCAGCACTTTTTAAAAAACCCATCTTATATACTCAAGTCCCATACAACTTTAAGTTTAGAAGATGAAGAATAGTCTCTAGTTTACTTATCAACCAGGTGATTTGTACTAAAATACAGAATTCAAAATGATACAGAATGAAATATCCTTAACTTACACACTTACTAGTATAAATTAAATATCAGAAAAACAAAGATTACACAGATCATGGGTTCTCAAATACTGTTAACCTAAAAGTAATTAATTCATTCTCCTAAATCAGGTGTAATAGGGTTCATATATATTATCCTAACACATAGGAGGCAGAGGTAGAAGGATCACTTCAAGGGCAAGGCCAGCTTGGACAACATCATAGTAAGGTCAAGACCAGCCTGGACTACAGAGAGACTGTCTCAAAGATAATTTTTCTATTTTCCTATCTTCATCTGTGGCATTCAAAGTGAATCAGAAAATGTTGTTATGTGTCTTTCTCAGGGTCCCTGAATATCATATAAGTACCACCAAAAACACAGCATCTATCATATTATAAAAAAAGAGGGGCTGGGGATTTAGCTCAGCGGTTTAAGTGCCTGCTTGGCAAACTCTCAGAGGTCGTGAGTTCAATCCCTGGTACAAAAAAAAAAAAAAAACCTGGGGACTGGGGATTTAGTTCAGCGGCATAAGCACCTGCCTGGCAAGCGCAAGATCATGAATTTGATCCTTGGTACCAAAAAAACAAAAAACAAAAAACCAAACATTTAAACATGATCTGGATCACCCATAAAATATGACTTCATTTTGCACTTGACATTTTAATTGCTTTAAAAAATGCTTCTCACTTGCCCCCTCAAATTTGAAAATTCTTTCAAATTCACCTATTACAATAAAGTAACCACTTAAATTGACTCAATTTAAAATATTTTTAAAAGAATCTTAAAAGGTAATGATCTAAACTCATAAAAAGATTACTTATATATCCATTTTCTTGTTTTCAATAGTAAAGCTGTATGCCTTAATTATCTGTCTATTCAAGTCATTCTTCCTAAAACATATGCAAACACACAAAAGATTAACCACTTTCAAATAAGTAAAACTTTCTCGATCCACTCTCACTGTATTCTGGCATAGAATACATTTACATTTCATATTTGTAAAACAAACTAGTGTGCTATTGTTTTAATAAGAAACACAGGCTTTACTGATTCTCAATAACCAAAAGCAGACTGCTCTGTATAAAACACTGCAATGTACTACTCTTCAAAGGAAAAGAATTTCAAGTATGGGTTACCTGGAGAGATGAGAACTAGATGACTGGGGTTTGTATAGGTGTGTCTGTACTTATGAAACAACCTCTTTCCAACTCTGCTCAAAAATCAATATTTTCTTCAGTAAATATAAGTATACACAGTATAATAAATGCGTACTTCAGAATATAATAATCCAAGTAGAAAAAAATAATTCTAATTTTTTACATAGCAAGTCAATGTTAAACAATGTCATTTTTTTCTTTATTTCTAACCATTCCACAAATTAGATATGCGTTATTTATCCGTTTAGTAATATTAACAAACTGACTAGAAGCTCTGGAGCAGGAGGAAAAGAAAAGCCATTTTCCATTTTTGCACGAACAAAAATAAAAGAAAAATAAAAGAAAATGTGAAGCCTTGTTAAATGAGAAGCATTTGAAAAACCCAACATGACCAGCTTTTGATTTACCCCAGCCTGACAAGGAAGACAGACCCCACCCCCACTCCAGATTGTGCAGGGTTTTTTTTTTCCTTTGGGTGGGGGTGTACAGAAGAGAAGCTGTCACATTTCCATCTTCGGTTATTGTTAGTCTGCAGCCTAGATTCTCGGGCATCACTGGTCTAGAGGGGAAAATTGTACAGCAGACAATTAAAATTGTCTGAAATGCACAGTATTTTGTTGCTGCTGCTGCTTTTCTTCCCCCATGTTAAAGTTAATTACACCCAGATTCAATCTGCCAGGGCTACAGATTGGCTGACAGCCTGTCCCTCAAACACTCCAAGAAGCCTTGCTCCAAATTGACTAACAATCCTCTCTAGAAACTTAAATTACAAAAATGCATTTCTAAAATTATTAGATCCAAAAAGACACATCTCATTCTATTTGCCTTTGAAGTGAGAAACAGAATGAAGAGCAAAAGGTCGGAGACCTATTTATTTGCTCTTCAAACAAAAAGAAACGGGGGGGGGGGTAGACAGCCAGCGGGAGAAAGAGCAGTCGTGGACCTGAACGGAAATGTTGAGAAAAGTTTTTTTTTTTTTTTTTTTTTTTTTTTTTTTTTTTTAATATGACTTGTTTGTCCTCTGGCAGAATTGCTGGAGTTGGGCAAAAAGCCGCCGTCTCCAACTCAAGGCTGGAGCACAGGAGGCACCTGCAGAAGAGAGGCCAGGGACCAGAGAGGGGCTGGAGAAGCACCTACCGACTTGTAGCACGTTCTCTACGGAGCCGCTGTCCAGCAGACGGATGCCCCGGCGGAACGGCAGCCCCTCGCCGCCGCCCGCGGCGCCAGCCCCAGAGCCCAGCCCCGAGGACGCCCCCGCCGCGGCGGTCCCGGGGGCGGAGCCGGCAGCCGGAGCGGCGGTCCCGGGGAGTGGCGGCAGCCCCTCCTCAGCCGGCGAAGCCCCCGCGGCGCCGCCGGTCGCGCCGGCGCCGGGGCCGCCCCGGTACTGGAAGCTGGAGTACATGCAGATCTCCCGCTCATTCCGTGGGAAGGACCAGTAAACGATGCGGCGCTGCACGGGCTCCGGTATCCGCTCGAAGCGCTCCTCCACCCGCTCGTACGCCCACTTTTCCGCCACCGTCTTGGCGGCGCAGTCCAGCAAGGACTCGGGCTGCAGGTGGGGGCGGGCCCCAGAGGCCAGGCAGCTGCTGCCGACGCCCCCCACGCCTCCGCCGGCCGTCCCTGGCGAACCCCGCGGAAGGTGAGCCTGCGGGCTGGGCCAAGAGCACAGCCGTTTGGCCGGAGAGACGGGCGGCGGCGAGAGCAGGTCTTCTCGCTCACCTCCTTCCGCCATTGCTGGGGACTGACTGACTGAGGCGGCGGCGGCAGCTCGGGCTGCAGCGGAGACCCCGGCCACGGCCACACGCCCCGCGCAAGCGCCCAGCGGCGGCACTGAGGGGCGGGGCGAGCAAGCCCACGAGCCTGCCGGCCCGAGTGGGAAGCTGGGCCAGTCCCGTGCGCGCGCCGCGAGGGCCGACGGGGTTGGCCTGCGGACCCGCGAGAGGCGGCGCGCGCGGAGCAGGCCGCCGCGGGCGCGAGGAAGCTCGGGAGCGAGCGCAGGCCATCGGCGCGCTCCAGGCGCGGATAACCCAGGGCGCGCGCCCAGCGCCCGCTTCGAGGCTTCGGCAGACTAAGGCCGGGAGAGCAGGCTGGCACCCGGTCTCCTCCAGCCCACCTGCCGCTCCGCCATCCAGAAACAGGCCGCGCGTCACCTCTGAGAAGTCGTCGGCTTTAAGGGCGTAAGGATAGGAAAACTCCAAACCAGGCACCTACATACTGATGCGACCAGAGATGTTCACAACCAAGGGCAGTGTCTGGCGAAAAGATGCTGCCGGGGAAGACAGGATGGAAGCGGGGTAGGGGGTTCGAATGCCCAAAACTTCTCAGCCACAATGTAGGATAATAACTTTGGCGCTCTCTGCCCTCGGTCAGAAACCGGTTAAGTCTCAGCGGCCCCGTCAGGACAATGGGGCCCCAGAACTCAGCATCCTCTTGGGGCTCTCTGGAGAACTTTGCAACTTGCAGTCTAGTAAACACAACTGTGTGTGTGTGTAATTTCCCTGACCTTCTGCCTCCAGGCTAAATTAGGCCTTTTCTTAAAATTAAGTTTATTGGTACCTTTTAGGTATACATTATGTTCCCATTCATCCTAGGAAATTTGTAACTGTACATATCTTGATTCATTTTTTCCCACTCTTCCCCTCCCTTCATCCTTATTTACAAAAGCTTTGTTTCCATTTTTTCCTTCTTTACATGGATGTGTTCCTCACTTTTATATTATCACAAGTTGCACACGTTTTTATTTGCCTGACTGCCCAACTGACTGTAAATTCCATGACAGCAGGGATCATCATTTCCTTCACTCTGATTTATCCTCTGCCAGGCATGTTAGTGGATGTTCGAGAATGACAACTTCATCATTAAACTCTCCATAAACAACATAGAGTTGTGACTGTCTCTTGCTCAAATTTTAGAACTTGCTGACAAATTAATCACTACAACTTTGAAGTGTTCCATGACGCATATTAAAGTTCCTATAGCTGAGTTCGCTCTTCAAAATAAAAGTTATATAATGTAGTATAAAGTAAAAATAAAAGAGTAAATAGAGGAAGGTTGGAGTCAAAGTAGTCTGATTTTGCTGTAACGGAATTAACACAGGCTTTAAATTGGAATTGGATGTGAATTATTCTTGCTACTTGTGTGAGTTTAATCATGACTCAGTTAAATCATTTGTAAAAGTAGCTAGTAATAATGCTTCTATATAGAACTGTTATAAGAATTAGAAATAAAGTATGTATTCAGTGTAGTAGGTACTCAATATTTGTGTATATCTGCACCTATAAATGCATTACCATGAAGTAACAATGTCTACTCCCCTTGAATATGGTACCATAATTATAGACTTTCATGATACTATTTCTTTTATAGAAATTACCAAAGTTTTTTTTAGAGGGGCAAGCTTTTCTTTAATGCTGTCTCCCTGACTAGACAATGAAATTTTTAGGGTAGAAACCATTTCTATGTAAAGATCTATCCCTAAAACCTGACATATGCCTAAATATAGAAAATAGTTCAAAGAATATTTTACTTTGAATCAGCAGATGGAGCTCTGATTTAATCAGATGCTCACTAGAGGTTGAGACAGGAAGAAATTTTGCTTAAACATATTAAGATTTAAGTCTGATTCTTATGAGATTGATTTAAGTAGACTTTTTAAAATTTCGAGAACATTAAACAATATAGAAAAGTACAAAAAATAGCATATGTATACCAAAATTCTCACTGCTCAGATTAATCTTTATTTATTTATGTTTAGCTGTGACAAAGTTTATTTGAAAAGTAAAAGTGAAGTGTGAGGGGAGATTTTGTTCTTCAGAGTGAGCTTGGGCCAAAAAAAGGAAATCCCAAGACAAAGGTACACCCTGGAGGACACAGGGCAGGCTTTTGTGAGAAAAGCTAGACAGCAAGCCCTTAATGGTGTCTGTATCTTTTTATGCCATCCAAATCTCAAGGAAATCAGTGAGAATGTGTAATGTGGGTCCAGAGAAGTGGTGCTTGGATCCCATGCCTCAGGCTGAGTTGGGTCTAGGCCATCCCATTATTGGATAGCTTCTTCTAAAAGTAGCTCACCAAGTAAGTGTTACAGGGTCCTAGGCTGCTTGCCTGTCCTGGAGTTGGATTCCAGGTGCTTCTCATCTTGAACAAAGAATTGAGAGAAACGGGCAAAAGGCAATGGCAAAGTTTATTTGAAAAGTAAAAATGAAGAGTGAGGGAGAAACTCAAGAACTTGGACCAAGTAAAAGAGGAAAAAACAAGATCAAAGAACACCCTGGAGAAAAAAGGGCAGGCTATGGTGAGGAAAGCCGTGATAGCCTCATGAGGTAAGCCACAATAGCCTCTTACTATATTTAAAATCCACTTTAACTGTCTTCACATAACATCCCCAGAAGCAATTATAACCTAAATTTAAAGTCTATTTTTAACTTGTCTGTAACATTTTGTACATTTTATTTAATTAAATGGTATCATATTGAGTGCTGCAAAATAGTTCATCTTAAGAATATATCACACCAGACATGATGCACACATTTGTAATCTGAGCTCTCAGAAGGCTGAAACAGGAGAATCCCCAGGAGTTAAAGGCCATCCTGGGTTACATAGTGAGTTCAAGGCCAGCCTAAACTGTATAGCAAGGCCTTGTCTCAAAACAAACAAGAATATATATATATATATATATATATATATATATGTATATATATATTAAGCACCATGTTTTACTAAATGTTGTTAATTTGTACTCCAATATAGTTGTACCAATGCTTTAGTTATCTAGCTCAGAGTAACAAAATTATTCCAAATTTGGAGATTTCAAACAATAATAGTAGTTTATTATCTTTCACAGTTTTTATGAGTAAGGCATTTGGGAGCAGCTTAGCTCTGTGGTCCTGGCTCAGGATCTCTTACTGACTGAGGCTATAATCATCTGAATGTTTGACTGAGGCCAGACTATCTTCTTCCAAAGTGGCTTATCACAGAACTAGTACAGTAAGTTGGGGCTGGCTCTTGGCCAGAGTCCTCAGTTTCTCACCCTGTGAACCTCTCCAGTGGCTGTATGACTGGTATTTCCTAAAAGGTGGCAAGAAAACAAGAACAAAGCTGAAATTTTTTTATGACCTACCCTCAGAAACTATGCTAACACTTCTGCTGTATAGTAGTCTATCCTTTCAGGTCAGCTCCAATTCAGTGTTGGAAAAGGATTAGTAGAAACATGAGATATTGCCTGCCATGACCAACTCCTGCAAACACTGATTGAAAGTGCTATATTTTCCCCATATTCTCACCAAAATGCGATACTGACCAACTTAATTTCTGACAACCTGGTAAACAAGAAGTACTCTTCCCCTTTTCTTTGGTTATTAGGGAAGTTTTCATTTATATACATATATTTTGGCCATCATATATCCTATTCTGTTAATTGCCTAAATTCATATTTTTTTTCTTCTTGCAATTTTTAACATTTTTCTTGACTTGTAGTACCTTATTTGTTCGTCCCCACCTTTATCCCTAAAGTTTCAAATTTTAATTAGGTCAAATACCTGCCTTTTCTTTTGCACAAATTGCTTTATTTAAGGAAGTCTTCTATATTCTATGTTCTCTTCTGGCAATTTTGGAGTTTTTTTCATTTTTATGTCATTTGCTTGCAACAATTTTTTTCTTTTCATGAACCTAATCTTAATCTTTTCTTTAGGAACAACTGTCAATCACTGTAAAACCATTTGTTGAATTGTTCAGCCTTTCCCTTGCTGACCTATAAAAGACCAGTTTGTCTTATAGGCATGAGTTTGTTTCTGGGCCTTTTTTCTTTCTTTACTGTTTCATCTTACCTTTGTATGTATTCCTCTTTCAATAATATACTGTTTTAACTGATAACTAAATTTGGTAATATGCAATCAAATTTGGAAATGTTTAAATGACTAGCAGGATATGTTCCCTTTCCTCATCCTTGTTTCTGAAAATTTCCTTGGTTATCCATGCAGCTTTTTATACTTTCACATGAATCAGTTTTACTACATTTCCCCAAAAAAAATCCTACAGGGATTTTTTTAGAGTTATATAGAATTTATAGATTAATTTGGGGACAGCTGATATATTTATAATTGATCTTCATAAATATATATATATGGTCTAATATTAATCTTTTTGAAAGAACTTTCATTCTTTATCTTGTGACTCTAGTAATTGCTACATATTTTAAAATATCACTTAACAAGAAACAATCTCACCTCTGGTAACTTAATATCTAGTTAGTGAAATGAGATGAAAAGTTAAATAATAGTAAAAGACTAGAATATAAAAAAGGAATAAATATAAAAAAATTTCAAATTACTAGAGAAGTGACTATTTGAGGAAATGAAAGATCACCTTCAACAAACCCACAGTCAACATCACACACACATCACACACTAAATGGAAAAAAGCTGAAAACATTTTCTCTATAAGCAGGAACAAAATAAGAGAGTCCCCTTAACCCCCTCCTGTTCAATATAGTTCTTTTTTTTTTGCTTTTTCGGTTTTTTATCGGTACCAGGGATCGAACTCATGACCGCCTGCTTGCAAGGCAGAAGCTTATGCTGCTGAGCTAAATCCCCAGCCCCTCAATATAGTTCTTGAAACTTTAATCAGCACAATCAGGAAAGAAAGAGAATTAAAAGAAAAACATATGACGAAGTCAAACAATCCTACAGATGGCATAACCCTGTCTATAGATACACACACACACACCAAGTTCCATCAAGACTCCTATAACTAATAAATTCAGCAATATAACAGGATACAAAATTAACACATAGGCCAGGGGTTTAGCTTTGTGGCACAAGCACCTGCTTGGCAAGTGCAAGATCATGAATTCAATCCCTGGTACCAAAAAAA